CCCGATGCCAGAGTCCTTCACGGCAACCTCCATCATTTTGATCCCAAAAAAACCGGGACCTAGCTCTTGGTCTGACTATAGACCTATCAGCTTATGTAACGTGACCAACAAGATCATTTCTAGAATCCTCAATAGGCGCCTCGGCCCTCTCCTTCCCCATCTTGTCTCTCCGAACCAGAGTGGATTCATCAAGGACCGAGTCATTAGTGATAATATCCTACTGGCTCAGGAGATGATACACGATATCTCTCATGTGAATCAGACACGAACCCCGAACCTTGTGCTGAAGCTAGACATGGCCAAAGCATACGATAGGGTCGAGTGGTCGTTTCTCAAAGAGGTACTATTTCGGATGGGATTCCCTACCCGTTGGATTAGCTTTGTGGAGGCGTGTGTGGAGCACTGCACATTCTCCGTTTTGATTAATGGTAGTCCCACGACCTTTTTTCCTTCTACCCGCGGCCTCCGCCAAGGGGATCCCCTATCCCCCTCTCTGTTTGTTCTGGTTGCTGACTATCTCTCTCGCTGCCTTGACGGCTTCATTTGCGATTTTCCGAGGATGACCTACAGCACGCGTGGCTGTGGGCCCCCCATTTCCCACCTCTCTTACGCATATGACATTATCATTTTCACTCGTGCGAATGATAATGGGTTAGTAGCTCTCATGAGTCTTTTAGACCACTATAGCGAGACATCTGGCCAGCTTGTCAGTGTTAGTAAGAGTACCTTTATCATGGACCACCATGTTGCAGATCATTGGGCTCACCAGATTCACGAGCGCACTGGATTTGCTCGAGGGGATTTACCCTCTCCTTACCTTGGGGCCCCCTTATACAAGGGCCACCTTTCCCATGAGCTTTTCATTGACATCCGCCAGAGGATGATTGAACCGATATCTGGCTGGTCCCATAGACACCTATCTTTCGGAGGCCGTCTTGATCTGATAAAGAGCACTCTTTTTGCCCTTCCCCTTCACCTTCTCGCGGTGCTTGACCCCCATCAGTCTACGATTCATGAGTTAGACCAGATCTTAGCCCGTTATTTTTGGAGCTATAGCGAGGGCTCGTGAGGTCGGCGGCAGACCCACTGGGTGAAGTGGGACTCCATCTGCCGCCCCCACTCTGAGGGTGGGCTCGGGATTCGTCGTTTCTCTGATATGGTTACTGCGTTTTCCTACAGGATGTGGTGGCGCCTTAGGGAGGGCAAGTCCCTTTGGGCCCAATACCTCCTGAGGAAATATTGCCCTGGCGGTGCTACCCACCCATGCAGGGTGACAGCCACTTCTCGGGATAGTCGTCAGTGGAGACGACTCACCATTGTTGGCAGGCGTGCTCAGAAGCACATTTTTTGGACCTTGGGATCTGGGGAGGTTAGCTTCTGGGATGAGTGGTGGTTCGGCGAGGCCCCTCTTTCGAGTACTAGGCCTGTCACCCATCTGCCTTTCATGCAGGTGAAGGACCTTTGGACGGGAGGGGTTTGGGATAGAGATAAGATGGACGGCATTCTTGGTGAGGGCGGGGGTTTTAGTAGCCTAGAGATTGACCAGATCCGACAGATTCCCATTCTGGAGGGAGGTTTGGACGGCATGAAGTGGAGACTTACATCTTCGGGTGCATTCTCTACGTCATCAGCCTAGGGAGACGTGAGGCTGGGCAACCGGCCAAACCGCCTCTTCGGGGCCATATGGACCGACCTTCTCACCCCGGGCATTTCCGTATTCTTGTGGTGCCTACTATTACGGCGCATCCCCATTGACACTGTGATGCAGGCGAGAGGGCTCTCCTTTCCCTCCCGCTGCCATTGTTGTGCTGAGACCGGTACCTTTGATATCGAGACTTTCACCCACCTTTTCATTGATAGTGAGACTGTGAGGAGAGTGTGGGAGCATTATGCCAGATATACTCATATTCTCCTACCCACCACAGACAGTTTTTTTGAGCTTCTGAGTTTTTTCTCACTTCGCACACACAGTAGACACGTGGGCTTCCTTATTCCTTGTCTGATCCTTTGGGCCACCTGGACAGAAAGGAATAATGCGAAGCATAGGGATATTATATTTTCTTGTGCTCACATTATTTTGCAGGTTGACAGACACCTTTCTCTCCTCACTTCCCTGGGTAGACTTACTACGAGAGACTGGACAGGGTGTACACCGCCTCACCGCTTGAGGCCACCACCTCCTTTACCTGTCCAGCACCCACGACCCAGGACTGTTGTTTGGCGGAAACTCAAGGCCCCTTGGGTTAAGCTAAACACTGATGGCGCTTTCGACAGACATACTGGAGCTGCTGGAGGAGGGGGCCTGATTAAGGATCATGGTGGGGCACTCATCTCTGCTTTCCATGGGCCACTTCGGGCCTCCTCGAGTTATGAGGCAGAGATTCAGGCGCTCCAGATTGGTTTAGAGATTGCCGCCTCGAT